ATCATCTACAGCTATCCCTGGGTGCAATATTAAAGATAGTTGTAATTATTCTTTTCTGAACAATAAAAACACGTTTTTCCCCCACAAACGAACCCCGGTTCGGTTTTCTCATTTTATTTTTTAGCTTCATTTATATTTCTTATATTAGGTTTCCCATCTATTATTATTCTCACGCAAGCTGAAATCTCTAATAAAACTGTAAAAAATATTTTCAACCATATTCAAATATGAACTTTCTGTTTCAGGTGAGTTCCAGAATCCAAATATGAGAAGTTTATGAACGTGAGTACCTATAGAATTCAATCCCGGTTTATTAATGATGTCTGCTTGCCTTCATTTCGACTATTGAATCAAATTTTGATGGTTCAAGACCAATTCTTGAGATATTGGACACCATGGGTTACACACTGCAATTTGTAGTGAATAAACTTCCTTTTTGTGACAGGCTGGAGATGATAAAAATCTATGATAATGTATCCAAATATTGCTGCTTCGTGGGATTTTCTCACTAACTTACGTTATTGCAACACATGGTACACTAAGCAACAACTTCTTCAGGCGAGTTCATGAAAAACTACCCGAACTTGGGGAAACTGAACCTCTCAACGAAAAGAGTTTATTTAAAAACTCATTGATACAGTTTATTGTATGATTGTATAGCGAAACACGTGTCGCGGTGAAAATCATACACTAAACTGTATTCCTGAGTTTTCATATAGATTTTCATCAAGTATCAGCCAGTTTTATTCAATTAGAGTTGATTTTGCAGTAAAATATCCATATGATAGTTCAGTTCACTTTTCCTCAATATACTTCGTCTCATTACCAAAAGCATCCACCAGATTAGTTTACCATTTTCGGTCGAACAGTAAAACTAGTTTCCAACTCAATATTAATATAATGTGTCACATTAACTCAACAATTCTATAAATGACTTTATGCATCATCATCTTCATCATCGTAATCCCCGGGTTGTTTTCTTTTATACTTCACGTGCAACTTCTCCGTCTGATTATAGACAAGCCAGCCAAAAGCGAGTGCTGAAAATAACAAACTAATTACCATTTATTCCATCAGCATAATGATTGAATATTCAGAGCGCTTTCTTAATATTTTGGCATTTCAGTCTGCTTTGATACTTTTCTGATAACTTTATTGTCTATTGTTTTTCAGTATTTTTAAAATGTTTTCACATAGTAGTGTTGAGAAACTTTTGATTTCTGTCTTGAATGTTATGATTCCTCAAATTCTACTTTGCAGTTTTTCTACAGTGCATTTCATTAGTGTATCCTGTGACATACACAGTGACAGTTTCATTATAATAATAATAATGGAGTGTCTACATGACAGAATGATACTGGATGGAGCCTGTGAAGTCGTCAGGAGTTCGGAGCTCTGCATGGTTCATGACCATGAGAGAGCAGGAATTGGAGCATTTCTCTTCATAAGGCAGCTGCCCGAGTAGCTGATAAAATCGGTTTAGTTTTTGACTCTGAACGAGGTGATCACAACTCAGTTACCAAGTTGGAAGCCGTTCGGCTCATATAAAAGCTGCAGAGATCACCTCACTTCTGCGGTAACACAAGGATAAGGCAATGCATCGAGTCTTCTCCAATAATATTGAAGACCTTGACTTATCAAAGCGTTTGATTTTCGCTTCCCTCAGGTCGAGTGGGCTGGAGTCGGAAACAGGTGGGTTCATCATGGCCTTGCAGGATGGTGTCTTCAACACCTTAGTCTACTGCAGTCGCGTGTGAGGTTCCTCACACAAGGTGCAGGGCCTGCCGCGAGGAGTCCGAGACCCGAATGTACTTGCTGTCAGCATGTCCAGCATATGTGGTATTGGCTCATACACATCGACATAACGAGGCCTTAAGTGTGTTTCATTACCACCTACGGCACTCTTACGGTTTTGACGAGACACCGGTGTTGCCCTACCCTCCGGGGGATATTGAATCTGTTGTGGGGAACGAGAAGTGCCGAATTTATTGGAAGTAATCGTTTCTCAACCTCAGGCTCATTCAAGCTAATAATGTGTAGTTCTTCTCGACTACCAGAGCAAGACGATATTTGTCGTGGAGTTTTCAGATTCTGGCGAGACGAATATTGTCCAAGAAGAAGAGTAAAAACGGATAAAATTTCGAATTTTTTTTTTCGAACTCCGCAGACTCTATCCAAATCACTCTGTCAAAATGGTTGTTATGATTATTGCGCCTTTGGTGAATAATGCCATCTCCAGTTTCAGTCTTTGGTGAATGATACCATCTCCAGTCTCAAATATCAAAATCATACCGGCTTGCCGCACTTAGGCAGAAATATCAGCCAGACAGATGCAGAAGACTGTCATTTTTGGCCCACTACGCTTACTCAAGGCACATGATTCTCGGACACAATGATTACCTAACCCACGGTGTTAGAAGTGGTCGTTGGTTGATAATGCTAGCACGCCTTCTCGAATGTATCGGGGCTTCGGGGGATAGGGCCTGTCAGAGCGAACTTAGGTGAAGAAATGATAATAATAATGATAATAATGATAAAAAGTGCGCTCACTGCGATTACTCAGGGCACATGATTGTTGGGCCCAATGATCACTTACCCTACGGTTTGCGGAGTGGTCCTTGGTTGATAATGCTGGCGCGCCATACTGAATGTATCGGGGCTTCGGCAGATAGGGCCTGACCAGCGCATATTACGTTAAGAATAGTAATAATGATGATAATAGTAATAAAAATTATCAGCTTTATTCTTCGATAAGAGTAATAACATACAAAATCAAAAATAATGATGAAGGCGAAGTTCATTTTTTTTTTTAACTCAACCTAATTTAAAGGACACAAATATACACAGAAATTCAAGAAGTTAACTTATAAAAGAATATCTGAAAGTTATACAAAAAATGAAGAAATTAAAAATGAAATAGTAGAGAAAAAACTGGAACAAAAGAGAGAATTAATAGTATCCAATTGAACTATCCAGCCAATTCCAAGTGCAGTTTCAGTTTCTTCTTGAAGTTATATAACGTATAGTGTCTGAACTCAATTGGAAGTGCATTATAGAGAACACCTGAATTATATATAAAACTTCGAGTGAAACAAGCTGTGGAGTGTTACGGGGTGATAAATTTACCACGATTTCTGGTTATAAGTACTCTGTGTTTCAAGTGTTACGCATCATTCAAATAAATAGTGAGGTTTCTTTCAAGAGATAAATTTGTGGGTGAAGTATGATTTTAATCAGTCTGAGCCAGCCAGACTCCTCAAATTCACCTGAGATGTGATCAAACTATGAGAATACTAAACAGTTGTTCTGAATTTTCTGGAGGAGTTTCATGTCAGATTGTATCATGACAAACCCATAGATGATCTCACAGTAAGTGACCATCAGAGATAATATCAGTTCTTCACAAAGTTTCAGTTTAGGTCTGGATGTTATCAAGTCCCTATTCCGATACAGCTGACAATTAACACTAACATGCTTGTTGCACTTCCAAAGGTGCTGCAAGCAGCTTCATCGGACCAGAACCTGTCATTGGCATCGCTTTAAGCTTTGCCAAGCAAACATTGAACACTTGGACGACGGCAAGAAGTTTTATGGACTTTAAATGATCTGGAAAATTCTGCTAAAAGTCCATAAATCTTCTTGCCATCCAGGTGTTCAATCTTTGTTGACAGGTTCTGGTCTGATGAAGCTGCTTGTAGCCTTCTTACAGGTCACTGTCATTTGAATCATCATATGCAGAGATTTGGACTGTCGGAAGACAGTGTTGTTACGTTTCAATTTAGCACTAGATCAAACTGCTCTTATGTGACCTTTCAAAAACACTACCTTACCTTTTAAGATCTTTATTCAGAGGATATTGGACGGAATCAGGTTCTTAGAGTTCAGCAGAGCCGTACTCTTACCATCTGACCTGAAAGACCACTCACCATACAAACTAATCGGCTTCGTTAAGAAGCTGGGTTTATTTGGCCGAGTGTGAATAGGTGTGAGACACAATAAACCCTTGTGGGTTGCAGTGGGGGTCGAATGGACCCACTCACTTTAGACCTAACCTAACCTAACATGCTTGTGAAATTTGAGGTCAGAGTCTAACCACAGTCCTAGGTTTTTGCTTTCATTTACTATCAAAAGTGTATCATCACCAAGTCATACATCGATCAGACCTGTATTTTTGCGTTTTGTACCTATCAGTATAAGTTGGGATTTACTAGTGTTCAATTTCAGATTATGAGCAAGAGGTTGACAATATCCTGATTGACTTCATGCACAGCTTCTTGCAAGTTATTTTTCCTGAATGAGTAGGATAACTGAGTGTCATCTGCATAATGATGCGGCAGATATTTATTCTGTCGTGGAAACCTGAAATGTATATTGAAAACAAAAGTGGTCCAAAAATTGATTCTTGAGGGACTCCCAAACTGACTGGTGAAGCATCTGAATATCTACCATCCATACATACAATTTGTTTTCGAATTTGTAGGAAACTCCCTAACAACTCAACGATGTCTTCATGGAATCCAAAGTATAAAATCTTCTTACAAAGAATATGTCTATTGTACCGAAATGCCTTACTGTAATCAAGTAGTCCCATCAGAGTTAATTCAATTGATCAAAATGAATCCTGATTTATGTTAACACGAGTGGGATTATCAACTATATGATTCCGAAACAATGTTCCCCTACCACGTTATCTGTGTCTGTATCTTGACGCAATAAACGCAATGATTACCAAACAGTTTTTCATATGCTCTCCACAAATGAAATGAAATGATTCACGAGGAAGGTTTATGAATATAATTTATCTCCGAGCAATGATAAACTCCAAATAACCCTAGATATACTTCTAGGTCCTTGAGAAGTTTTGAAGTGTACTTACAGAACCCCAATGAAAAAGAAAACGTATGCGTCTCGGGACGCCCGACAAAAGTGATAACAATCTAATCTAAGTTGAACTATTCAATATGGAAATTGTTCAACTTGAGAGGAGATTAGTTTATTACTTAAATTTTATGTATATCAACATGATATACATAAAATGTATATGTGTATAATAACGTACATACACAAAATTAGTATCATCATAGTATCATATAGTATTCACATAATAAATGAACATTACGTGCTTGCTGGTTAGATTTTTTATACAGTTAACAGTATATGTCTAACGCACACTGAATATTGAGCTTTTTCCGGTGAGAAAGGAGGAGCCTGCCTTCCGCTGACGTATACGTCTGCTGTAACACTTTAGTTAACGAAGCGGTTCACCCTCCCATAAGAAGTTATCACTTCAAAAATCAAAATTGATTGTATATATTTCTCAGATTCCACAAAATATAATTTCCCTACCGACCTGTTTTCCACTGCCAAGTGGCACTGACAATCTCTATTACATAAGTAATAATCCATCTAGTTATATCAAATAAATGTTTCTTTTCTGAATAATGTTTCTCACTAGCAAATAATTACCAAGAGCCAATAATGGTTATGAACAGCATCAAATAAATTTGGGAAATAGAGGAAAACAGAAAAAACCTGAAATGATTCTTTGGAATTGAATTACATTACGTGAAAATCGTCTTTTCCCTTGAAAAATTCACTTTAGAATATAGTTTGAATCGTATACAAAACGGTTTCATTTTAAAAATTTCTCCATATGCCGGTAGCCAGGCGGATAGCTCGAGAATTCTTACAAAAACCGCTGTCAAATATTTTTTCTAAAAAAAAAACAATCGAACAAAATAGTTTGTCTTGATATTCCATGTTTCAAATAGAAATTATGATTTTCAGTTTCATTTGTATTCGAAGGCTCTGAACTATGAAAGTGAGAAAAATTTCAATAATCATCGACTGAAAAGAGTGCTTGCAAAAGTACGAGATAATCAACCTCTGGTGGAAGTGAACCGCTACAGGAGTCATTACAGAATTGCAATATATCGCACGACGAAATAAATTCAAGCGACCTAACAACACGATTCGACAAGCGTGATGAAGAGGGGTTGCAATTGCGAAGATTTTGGTCCAAGTAGTAACTCATTTTGAA